AAAATTTGTTTTGGTGATATTTCTAATAAACGAGGTAGTATCGCATCCGGATAATGCATGTAAAGTCAATAATACTGATGGATCAAAATGCCATTTATCAATTATTTCTTGAGCTATATAGATGCTATTAATATATGTATGCACCTTGGTAGTTGTATTCAAACTTTTAACGACTAATGCTTCAAGTCCGATTATTTTCGCATTTGCTATACATAACAAAATAACATCCGTATCCGTTGCTTGGATGATAACTTTTTTAAAAACATAAGTTGACTGAATCACTTGTGCATGTAGCAGCATACGTGTGTCGGCTTCTATATGATTACATTCTAATTCCTCAATTATGCCTGGTGCTACATCTTTTTTCAATATAATAGCTTCTTCAGATGGCCCGGCAACTACCAGAACTTTATGGTCCGGCAGTAATTGTACCAGTGCAGGTTCACGCCAACATTCTGACATACATTTAGCCAACACTGCACGATTTCCATGAACGAACTCATGATATTTTGATGCTAGTAAATCACTCTTTTTCAGATCGTACTTGTTACTCATGTTATCATTTCCATGTCGTTGTGTATATGCTTTAAGAGCTTTACTAATATGCGAATCTAAATTATAAGAACATATGTTAGTTGGATTAAACGAACCAATACGAATAGCAAGAGTGATCTATGTAACTGATTTTACTTAAAAAAGGGTCATAAGAGAAAGGAATAGTTTACCAAAAACGATATCAATACGGTCAAATGATTTGAATTGTTGGATAATTACGTTTTGTAATAATTGAGCTGCATAATCATACACTGTTGAATGTTTGGATGATGGACGAATTTCTAATAAACTTCCTCCATCGACAATTAATGCACATTGATCGAATGTGATTGGACATACACGTGAGAACGCTGTTGGGAATTTGTCTCTCAAAAAATTCAATGCATCAGCTTTTGTTTGTTGGTTCATGAAGTTCCAGTTATCTTTATCACATAATGATAATGGTGCATCTGTGAATTCGTACGAAAATAATTCAGTTATGTCTAAATTTCGACATTCTGCTAAAATAATGATTCTCGTAATATATTCATCAACTGTTTTTGTTATCTGATTGATATTGTTTTGTTTCTTTGAACTTGCTCGACCTTTTGCAGCAACACCTGCCGTGTACGTATCATTGTCACGTATACGTAAACGACGCATTGCACGAAGAGGCTCGTCTAAAATGCTCGAGAATAGTATAATGTATTAATAATAGCAAAGACAAGATATATGATAAAAAAGCTCTGATATAGATAACGAACATTCAAAGTGGCTATATTGTAGATGAATACTAACCAAGTGTGACGGATTTGTTGACAAGTCGTTGTTCGGTATAGGTTTTTAATGCTTCCAGGCCACGTTCGAATGAGGAACAGATGTTGTTGATAATATCGCCGTGGATAAGTTCTCCACTTGATAGTATTCTACAATGTTGATGTTGGAACGAAAACAAATTTTCTTCATTTAATTTTGAAACGATAGTTGATAAATCTTCATTGTCTACTTGTACCCTATTTGGTTGACATTCTATATGAGAATCAATTGTATTCTTTGACGTTTCTAAACCAGCAATTTCGTTTGTCACTGTTGATAATATTGCTCGATAGGCAAATGAATTTGTCCAATTGTTAATCGATTGTTCATTAAATCGACCACTTATTCCTCCATGACTTTTTCCGTGTTTATTAATGGTACATTCGATGGTTTGATCCATGGCAATGTAGGAGAACGGCCTTTGCGTACGATTAACGGCAAACGAGCGAGCTAAATGTTGCAGCAGGGAGGCAGAACTAGAACGAAGGTCGAAGAAATGCTGTGCGAATAATCGAGCATAATTGCGATGATTGTTAGCGAAAAATAATGGTGCCATTTTGCTTAATGATCCATTTCGTGCTGAAAAGTTTGATGTTCTAATAGCCATGTTCAATTCAATTAATGGTTCAAATAAACATTGTAACACAAATAACCAAAATTTAAATGTTATATTCTGTTGGCTACAGCCAACTGCCCATGTAGTAAATACATCGGACAATTCTACCTTTTTTAATTCGTTCGTTAAATCTTTGAACCACTTTTGTTTAGTTTCATTTTTAAGATAGTCATAACCATTTGGAACTGCTGATAAAACGGATAGTATCTGATCGGGTAATGGCGACGTTGTTAAAAATTGTTCAATCAGTAAAATAGATAATGCTGTGTATAGCAGTTTACAACATCTAAGGGATTTGTTGAAATGATGAACATTCAAGATGGATCGTAATGTTGCACCTTTGTAAATTTTTCCTAATAATTCATTCACTCCCGATCCATCTAATACATCCCAAATAAGGATCATGAAATTTTTCATTATGTGGAAATCACCCGGATATATTGATATACGTTGAAATTCAAATAAACTAATTTGTTTAGCCTGGAATAGTAAAAAAACAGAACATAGAAGACAAAAACTGTGTCATTTCATCCCCACCTTAATACAATTTCGGTAAATCTTTTCATCCACAACTATCACCGCTTCTTGTTGAAAATTCGTGTCAAGGAAAGCTACTTTCGTAGTTTGTAAACACGCATCAGCTGCAGATAAAGAGCTTGGATCTTCATTAATTGGTGTGCAGAACGAGACCGAGTGTATTTTTTTTTTTGGAAACACTAGATGAGTTGCAAAGAAGCCTGATAATAAAGGCAAATGCAGGGACTCTGCTCTATAAGTCAACTTCAGTAAATTGCTATTACTGTTGTTGACAGTATTGTTATTACAAGTATTTCTGAAAACACATTTTGCCAAAGTGTAAGCCAACAATGGAAGAGACAGCCTAAAATAGACCGATATCGAATAATCTGTTAAATGGTAGTAGGGAAGTTATGCGTACGATTCATCAGCAAATGGGTCATATGTGGTTGATGGACTACTTAATTTCGATGACGCTGATGTTTTGCTCACTGTCCTATGGTCCCAAGAGCCCAATAATAATTGTAGCGATTGTGAAATAGCATCGGTCAAATCATGTAAACAATTTGTAACATCGTCTATAAGTTCATTGTTTGCTTCGTTTTGAATAATTATTTGATTTAAAATATGAATGCTGTTCTCACCGTGTAAACTTTCCTTATTCAAGTCAAAATTATCAGCTACCTTGACGGCAAAGCTATTGGATACCACCGTTTTTGGTAAAAAAGGATTGGCTGTTACTTTTGCGGCCGCTTTTTGATGTAATCGTTTAATTGTATCATAAGAACATACATGTCCAAAGCGATTAAATAACGATGTCAAACGAAACGAGCGTTCGTGCTTTAATAGTTCATTGGCTAAAAGGTAATGCTTTGGAGTGATATTCTTTTCGCTTTTACAATTGATAATATCATAAACAACTGAGGATATCTTTAGCCATTTAGTGGACGATTTGAATAAATCTTTGTTCACTGTATCATATAATATGTAATCAGATTTCATTTCTCCAAATTCTTTTTCATTCGAAGTTAATAGTCCAACAAAATTTTTTAATATAAGTGGAGCACAATCCCAGTATAGCTGGGATGTAAAATCAGCTAATAATTCATGTTGTTCTTTTAATTGTTTTAAGTAATGGTTATTTTCATTAATATCTTTACGTAATATTTCCAGTGCAGCAAATAACGTTTCTAAAATATCCACAATAAATACGAGTTAGTACCGGATTAGTATGTACAGATACTGAGTAAGAAATTTGTAGTGGGGCAAGAATTAGCATCACTTTTTTACAGGCACAAAATGGATCTTACAACCGATGAATGACGTACCACATTTTGTTCTTGTATCAGGTTCATTTGCACCGTAAATATTATTGTCAGGTATAATAATGTTGTTTGATGTTTTCAGCATTAACTTTGGATAGAATGAATTATCATTCAATGCAACATGGATACCATCATAATTACTCGTTTTGATGAACTGCAGTTTTTGATAATATTTCGTTTCAAGTCGTGCTCGAATGGAATCCGTTCGAATAACTGATTCGGTTATTAATTCTTGACGCTGTTCCAAAATACGTCTATATTTCAGTTTTAAACTTAAAAGAGATACTAATACACCCGTTTCTAATACATCGAATAACCACTCACACAATTCATCGAAACCATTTTTATATAACATTGAAATATGAGCATCATTCGTAGGCAGCGGTATGTCTACTTCAGGCGATCTTTGAATTAATTTCTTTATGTGAGATGGTCTACACTAGAAAAAGCAACAAGAAATATGGTAATTGACGTCAGTGCATAATTCGATTATACACACAAAGAGGCCATACAGATAAAACATCTCTAAAGAATAAAAGATAGATGTCTAAAAATTTATGAGCACATTACCTTATTTTTTTTCGTATAAATCTCAGGTGTTGATGCTCTACAGTTGGTACGTTCACTGATTGTTTTGTTTTCACATAAGACTGTAACATCTGCCCTATTTATTTGATGATTCTTTGATGTTTCGGCTAAGAGCTTTACGACAGGATAACGATAATTTTCGGAAAGTAATTCGTTATTTTTGGCAGGAATAATATTCGCAAGTTCTTCCGGTGATCGTTTGTCAGTGACGTTTTCCGTTGGTAATGCAGGCATAAGTGGATCTTGAAGAGGAGGGAAGCTAACTGACTGCAAGAGTGACGTGTTCGCTGTATCATGAGTACAAGATACTCTGTACAATTCTACCGGATGCGAACCATCAACATCGTGTTGAGATGAATGACTACTATTCACGTGTAGTGACAATGAACTGTATGATCTTGTTATCGCTGGATTATCCCGACTT